GTGGCTACCAGACAAGGATGAAACTGGGAGACCTACTCTCTCCCCTATGTAGTTTTCATTTACCTTATTGTCAGACCCTCCCGCATGGCTACGAAGGAGCCCTGCCTATTGATTGTATTCATGCCTTTGGGTTAATCTTCCCACGCTGAAGGGTTGGTTTGGGATCAATAGAATATGACAAAAGTGTTGGTGCCTGACTTTTAAGGCTAGATCACAAGAAGACACCGTGGCTTCTGCTTTGGCCTCCCTGCGATCACTGGCACTGACGGAAGCCAGATGCCAGGCCATGGGGGCACTCAAGTGGCCTCACGTGGAGGTCCGTGCAGCGTAAAACTGACCTCCTGCCAACAGTCATGCGAGCAAGCCACGCTGGAAGCACATCTCCAGCCCAAGGTCAAGACTTCAGATAAATGGCCCTGTTGGTATTTTAAAAAAAGACTTCAGATAACTGCAGCCTTGGCCTCCATCCTGACTGTAATTGCCCGAGAAGCCAAGACGGAACCACCCAGCCAAGCCAGGCCCCAGTTCCCGACCTGCAGAACCTGTGGGGCAATACGTTTGTCGTTTTAAGGTGTTAAGCTTTGGCGTGACTGTTATGCAGCAACAGAATACTAACATACTCTCCGACACAGATCACTGACTACAAGCTGTTTTTTACATTTTGCTGGAATAGGAGGAAACTACCAGAGCCTGGGTTCCACCTGCAGCGGTTCTCAACCTGTGGGTCGCGAACAATGAAAATACACCCTGCATATCAGTATTTACATTACAATTCCTAACAGTAGCAAAATTACAGTTATGAAGTAGCAACAAAAATAATTTTATGGTTGCGGGTCACCACAACATGAGGAACTGTATTAAAGGGTCGCGGCATGAGGAAGGTTGAGAACCACTGAGGCTTCTCTGAGCAGATGACGCAGGCGCTGGGCGCCACGAAGGGCCCCGGGAAAGAACCAGGCACACCTGGGCCTTGCGGAGCGGCAGGGGCGTCGTCTGCAGTCGCCGCTTCAGGGTGAACATTCCCCAGGACCACGTGGAGCGAGTCTGCACAGCCATGGCAGGGGCAGAGCCAAGGCAGCCGCGCCGGCTGCAGTCCTGGCGCCTGCGCCGTGGGCTCCTCGCGCCCCCAGGTGGCGCCG